CATTATCATTATCATTATCATTATCATTATCATATTATTTTATTTAATGATGATATTGTTAATGCATAATTATATATTATGCATATTATATATAATATAATAATAATATACAGAGCCAGTGTAGGAGCATCACACCGTGCCTGCCAGAGGTGGCAGGGGATGGGTTGGCGAGGTTTAAGTGTGATTGCTGCACTAGAGTCAAGCAGTGACCCCTGGGTTAAAGCTTGGTGTCATTACGAAGCCTTTGGGATTTTCAGTGGTGGTTAAAAGGTCAGGGCCGTGCTACACCTCAACATCGCAGGAGGACCTTTCATGTGTGTGATGAGCACAGAAGGGGTTGTGCCAGTGATCTGTGCTGGTGTTTTCCTCTGCAGTTCCCCTCTCCCTTCTGCTCTGGCATCTCTTGCCTGGGGGAGATGAGCAGCCCCCAGGGAATTCGTGCCTTGCATGGCCAATGTCCATGCTGGCGCTGAAAGGGCTCAGAGTAAATACACATATATGAAACACCCACATAGGCTGAATAAGCTGCAAAGTCCCAACGAATTTTATTCCCTGCCAGCTTTCCTCCCTGAAGCAGCTTTCCCGTGGAAAGTGTAAGAGAATGAACTGTAAATCAGGGAGGAGAGGATGCTCTCACCCCTGAGTGTCTCTGGCTGGGGGGAGGGCTCTGTCAAGCTGGCGCCAGCGGTGGGACCCCAACCGGGCTGTGGCTGTGCCCGTGATTCATGGCGTGGCCATGCCCCGGGGACACAGCGACTCCATCACTTGGTCTCAAATATTTCCTATTCCTGGCTGACTTCTGCACAGATTTTTGGAACAAATTCCTCTAAGTTTGTGACTGCCTGTTGTCTTACTCAGCTCAAGCTAGCGAAGCAGGACCTGGTGCTGTTGTTTCTCCCACCTGCTGAGCCGCTGTCTTTGCTTCCCTTGCAGGTGTCCCGGGTGCCAGTGGAGTCCTGTGAGCAGTATACAACCTGCGGGGAGTGCCTGAGCTCGGGGGACCCCCACTGTGGCTGGTGCGCGCTCCACCACATGTAAGTGTGGCCTCAGCTGTGGTGTTTGGGCTGCTGATGGTGATGATAAAAACAAAGCCAGCAAGCGCAATCTTTGTGAAAGCAAATTCGGTTGAAGTTCCTTAAATCCATCCATCCCTTCCGTGGACATTCCCTGCATTGCAGCATGAAAATCCCTGAGCTACAGTAAAGAGGGAAAGAAATTCTTGCTTTAGGAGAGACGAGTTGCACACTGCATGGGGAGGGCGCCATGGACACGATGGGAAAGTGGAATTTAAACCACTGGGAACAGAGGCCCTGCATTTTACACACTCCTGCTTGCCCAAGCCATGAGTTCCTCCCAATTAACAGGGATATTTTAGAGGCGATAGTAGACTTCGTTATATGAACAGGACTTTGCTTTCGGTGTGGTTGCAGTACTGGAACAGAGCAGAGCACCAATCCCTGTTAAAAGAAGAGATGTTTAAATTCGGCACAGCGAGGTCAGCGGGTCTGTGCTGCAGCCGTTCCCACCGGGAACGTCACACACATCGACGGCACAAAGGAGTGAGGGTTTAGGTCAGGTTTTTTTCAGGGAAGCTCTCTGCATTCAGGAGGGGTTTGTGTCCTTCCTTCTCTCCCTTGCCATAATAACGATCACTTCCTAAGGCGGAAGGGGGACCTCCAGGCACAGGCGGATTAGGGGAGGGGGGGAAACCCTCAAGGAGAGAAATAGCAATTCCTCCAGCTGCGTGCCAGCTCACAGAGCAGCCCCGTTAAATGCAGGGAAGTGGGGCAGAGACAGAGCTTGGGGCCTGCTGCAGCACTTGGCCACTTGCCTGAGCAGCAGGTGCTGGGGGGAGCGGGGAGCGGCAGGCTCCTCCACAAATCCAGCCTGGATTCGGCACCTCTGGGCTTTGGGGTGCAAACCAGCTCCCCACAGCTCACTCAGTTTGCAGGGACATCACCGCATTTGGGAAGATGCAGGAGACCCCTTGCACCCACATGCACCGAGCATCCTGCAGGTTCCTCGCAGTCAGGGGCTTGGGGCAGAGGCTGAGCAGCCCCCACAGCAGCATGGCAATGCAGGACACAGATGCCCTGGGTGTCTTTTTTTGGTTGTTTTCAGCTTTTTTCCTTTCAGATGAGGCTGTCCAGCCCCACAGCTAAGCCATCATATGTGCAGTTGTGTCCAAAAGTCTTTACTGTCACAGCGGCTTTGTCATAAGAAGGGGATTTCTGTCCCTTTGTGTCTTCCCTTGGGGCAGCCATCCCCATCTTCACGGTTGGAACAAAAGCCACTGCAGCCTTTTGATAGTGAGGGCATGAGGAACCTGCCCTGCACTGTGGTCCATAGGTGCTCCCAGGACCCCATCAGGGTTCCAGATCATCCTCTCACCTGGGAACAGTGACATTTTGGTGCTGAGCTGTGCAGCAGGAGGGGGATGTCTGTGGGGGGTGTTGGGTGCTGCTCCTCAGACCCCTGTAGCAGCTCCTGTGCAAGGATCACTGAGTGCTGTCCTAATGCTAATGAGCTGAATCTCCATAACCCACCTGGGAAGCAGGTAAAGGTTGTTATCTTCATTTTGCAGAGAGAAAACCCTCAATGTCAAGAGAAGCATGTCATTTCCTCTGCCCTTTTGGCCATGACATTTCGGCATTAACCTATTCCCAACAAGAGTTTCTTCCCTGATGGTATTTCTCAACCCTCTCTTCGAGCATCTGCACTCTCCTGGCCTGCTTGGAGCAACCAGCATTTTTTAGCTTTTGTCTTAAGCTGTAAATAATTGAGTTTATCTTGCTTGTTCCTGAAGCCTCTGTCATATTTGCTTGGAGGCCCCAAGCGCTTGAGTGTTTGTATTTAATTTGTCGTCTCTCTTCTCTGATTCTTTGTGTCCCTCTCGCCAGCTGGAGCAGCTGCTCTGTGAAGGGCTGCGGGTCAGGGTGAAGGGCCTCAGGTGATGCCAGGGCTGGTAAAAAGGGTGAGGGGCAGCAGAGGAGATGTTTTCATCCTCAAAAGAGCAAGAGAGTGGCCGGCAGCCTGAGCAAGCATGGGTACAGTTAACACCAGCACTGAGTCTCAGTCGGGAAGTGAAATCCAGCTGTTTCTCCTCACTTCTTGTTGTGGGGTTTTGCCCCTCTGATTTGGGATCTGTTCTGGGAGTACTGAGACCCCCAGGCAGCTCCGGGGGTCTCTGTGCCTAGCCCCAAAGGCAGCTCCTCTCTGAGCACTTGGCATCTGCCGCAGCTGAGAGTGTGGATGTGCAGATACTGAGCCACCAGGGAGCCAGGAAAGAAAATAATCAGAGTTTTAAATGATGCCTTGGGTGTCTGAGCAGTTACGGATGTGAGATGGATGGACGGACCCTGCCCATGTGGCATCAGGCAGCATGACCTGCCTTCTATGCTGCTAGCCAGGAAGCGATAGTATAGGAAAAGTAAAAGTAGATCTGAGCTGTCCTGGGATAAGCTTTCATTATCCAACATTACATGCTGCGTACTCATTATGTATTATTGTGTCTTAGAGGCCTGAGTCAGAACTTAAGACTCTGCTGCACAGCAGGGCGCTTACATACACGTGTGTGTACCCAGAATTCAGGGGCAGTGATGGCAGCGATGCTCATGAAGGAGCTGTCTGGGAGGGTTAAATCAGGCGATGGCTGAGCCCCCTGTCCCTGCCCAGCGCCTGGGGGTTCCTCCTCTCCCATGAGAGAGGAATTCCCGCTCCTCCGTTCAGCACACCTTGGGAGCAGGCAGAGGCCTGAAGGATGTTGTGAAAGAGGGTCTTCAGCCCAGTGGGTTCGAAACCTGCACGACTTCCATATGCTGCTCTCTGCAAGTGTGTCATTGCCTACAGACCTATTTATCTCTGTTAGGGCTGTTGCCATAAATAGTATGATAAAAAAGAGCTATTCCAGCAAGTCAATGAGATAAAGGCTCCAGTCAAGAGCTCACTTTAAAGCTATCTTACAGATTCACTTAAACCTCAATAATTCTTCCTTTGGCAGCATTCATATTTAGCTCCATTATATTCCAAAAAAAGGGGAAAAAAAAGCCTTGAGAGGGTGAGAAGAGCAGCAAGAATGTTTGCTGGGGATCACATGGGTGGTTTGGAAAGGGAAACCAAAAACTCTCCTTTCTTAATCAAAAGCAAACAGCCTTGCAGGGAGGGTGCAAGTCCACTGGTACAGAGCGGGAAGCCCTGGGTTTGTTTGGAGCTGGATGTGCATGGCAAAATTCAGCCTGTGCATGGGCAGGGGGTGTTTCTGTGGATGCAAGCATGTGCCTGAGGCTGCCTGAGCTGGGAATTGGGGAAACAAGGGTTTGACAGCAGCACCTTGTTAATGTGAGTAACATATAGACTCAAGTAATGTATAGACCCAATGAGGTGTCAGAAGGCAACCCTGCTGGTGGACAGCATCTCTGTCCTCTGACCTTTGTGCCACCATTGGAAATAGGGTCCAAGGTCAGCAATGAGTGAAAAGTGGTGAAGTTTGTTGATAGCTTATTAAGACCATTAACATCAAAGGGCTAACGTGTCATCTGTGCCCAGGGAGGGGAGTTGGAAGGAGAGGGTTTTCCCCAAATGATGTAAAATAAAGAAATCCCCGAGGGACACCAGTGCTGCACTGCAGTCTCCAATGTGTGAAATGCAGCCAAAGTGTAGCCACTATAGAGGGAAGTCCCATTCTTGGCCCTGCCATGCTCCTCAGCTACAGAAGAAGATAATTAATGAACTATGTGTTTTTGTTTTAATTAGAATAGAGGAATCATCTTGTTACTGCCTGTCACTGCTTTACGGTTTAGTTTCTGTGCAGATTATGAATTTATGGCTTGCCAAGGCCCTGAGCATCAGCAGTGCCTGGCTCCCCCCCCCACCCACGGGACTCAGTATCTCTGCATTGTGTCCCAGTGCAGACGGGACGGGGAATTGCTCCTGAGATACCTGTGGATTATTTTTCCTCCAGAATATTTGTCAGTGCCCTTTGGTCCTAACTTGGAACCCGATACGTGGTCCCAGTGCAGAGCATCGCCCCTGGTCCTGCCGAAAACAGCCCCATCCCCTGTCCCAAGGCTCATCCCTGGCTCTGACCCCTTCCTGGGGTGCGCTGCGTGCCCTGATGTGCTGTGCCGTCGGCAGGTGCTCGCCGCGGGACAGCTGTGAGCGCGCGGAGGAGCCGCACCGCTTCGCCAGCAGCATCAGCCAGTGCCTGAGCGTCACCGTGCAGCCCGGCAGCATCTCCGTCTCCCAGCACAGCCTCCCAGTAGGTGCTGCCGGCAAGCGGGGAGGGGTGGATCTGGCAGTGGGAGGCATTTCCAGCATATTTTGGGTTCGCAGTGAACAAGCAGTTCTCCAGCTTTTCTTCCTGCCCGTTGGCACAAGTGTTTTCCCATGAAGTCAGGCTCGTAGAGGGACTGAGGGAGAAAGGGGCCAGCCGAGCTGGAGAAGAAGGCAGTGGGGGTGGCAGAAACAAATTCCCTGTCCCCTTGGGCCTCAGCTCACATTTCTCTTGGTCTGGTTTCATGAGCTGTTAAAAGACAAGGCTTTGTTTCCCAAAAGCCCTCATCTGCGTGCTGTGCTCAGGCCTGGCTCTCTGAAGCCTCCCAGCTGTTGCTCCCTGAGCCTCCGGCCCCCTGCAGCAGCTGGGGCCTCGCTGCAGCCCCTTCACGCTCTGCGCCAGGGCTGGCTGCCCCCTGCCCACTGGTGTGGAAATGGTGGGGGGCTGCTGGGAGGGCGCTCACCAAAAAAGAGAACAGCCCCCGTGCCTGCTGGGGTCAGTGGGGACTGGCAACTTTGATGACCACACATGCCATCATCCATGAGCAGCACCACGCTGCTGTCACGGGTTCCCAACACGGGCATGGAGGGGGGCAATGCTTCTGTAGAGCAACCACGGGGACAGAAACTGCCATTGCCACCTCTCCTGAACTGCAGTGCCAAAGGCTCAGTGAGGCACTTTCGTATCCATTAAGATCCTGCATCCCTGGCTTGCTTTTTCCTCTTCTGCTTCCCATGAAAGGGCAGCTGGCTGCCTGCTGCGGGCGGGTGGGTAATTTAAGGGGGTCAGCACTGAATGGGAAAACAGCAGGTAAGGAGAACACAAAGGAGGCTAGGGCAGCGCTGCCTGCTGACAGGTTGCCAGCTGTGCTTTGTCCCCTCCTCAGCTCAGCTTGCTGGTGAGCGATGCTCCGGACCTGGCGGCTGGGGTCTCCTGCCTGTTTGGGAACCTGACGGAGGTGGAGGGTCAGGTGTCGGGCAGCCGCGTCATCTGCATTTCACCAGCAGCAAAAGACGTCCCTGCCATTCCTGTGGATCAAGGTGAGTCACTGACTTCTGCGCCGCCAGAAAGTGCAGCATAGGTTTGGAGATATTAATTCTCCTGTCAGAGAACATTGAACCCAGGGAGTTAAAGATGCCTCATCCTTAAGGAATGCATCCCATGAAGGGAGCAGGCAGCACCGCGTGTGTGCCCTGTCCTTGCACCTCCCTGCACTGCCATGCAGCTCCCCAAGGCAGGACCAGAGCCATCCATGCCCCCAGGGGTGGGCTCACAGCCTCACCCCGCTAGGTGGATCTGGGAAGCAGGAGCCCTCCCCTCAGCCTGGCTCAGCACCCACGAGTAGGTAGACGTAGTTTCTGTTTTCCAGCCCTGATCTTTGGGTTGTTCTTCATTAATGTCACTGCTGTCATACTTTCTCTTCCCATAACCAAAATGCTACTCGCTTAAGACTCATTTTCTCTCTGGCATCTCTCCAGGTGTCAACTGCACTTCCCTGCTGATATCTTTGTATTTCTAAGGCATTGTGTGGAGCCTGAGACTCAGTGAACACTGGGGGCCGAGAGCCACCGTGGTGGCAGGGCTAGCGTACACTTACCCACAGTGGCTCCAGAAGAGCAATCCGCTCTTATTTAGCTCAGTGCTGGGACTCCTAAAGAGTTTCACCAATACCCTCATTTCCAGCATCATCCCCTATTCTGTCTTGGGCTGCTTCTCAAAGTAGACTGAATTTGTGTTTTTCTATTGGAGACATATATACTTTAGGGAATGGGATGAGATACCCAAATAATTTCAGCTGTGACCAGGGCAGTATTTAGATCCTGTTTCTCCAGTGCATTTTGCCATCAAGCCTGGTGTGGTGTGGAGGCGTTGCTGGAGACCAGCCTAGCACCCTGGGGTGCTCGAGCATGGGGATGCTTAGCCCCCAGCTTGGGGAACTGCTCCAGACTTACGGGGTCCTGACTGGTCTGGGAGCAGGGAGCTGATGGGGAGCGGGTGCCTTGGTGTCTGCTGCTGCTTCCTTCATTAGCACTGCTGGGACTGACAGGCTCTGGTTTGCATCCCCAGACTGGTTCGGCGTGGTGCTGCAGCTGAAGTCACGGGAGACAGGGAGGACGTTTGTCAGCACCGAGTTCAAGTTCTACAACTGCAGTGCCCACCAGCTGTGAGTGCTCCCTCCCCATCCCCAAACACCGGTGGGCAGAGAAAGGGCTGGGGGGTGGACGGGGGCTCCGGGACCAGCCAGCAGACATGTAGGAGAAGGGGAGCCCACCGGTCCCTGTCTTCTCTGAACTTCTCTGGGTGCGTGTGGAGCTTCTCTGCCTTGTGAGACAGGCAGAGGGAGCCTGAAAAAACCTTAACCTGCTGGTGCCCCCAAGCTGTGTGATCCAGCAACTGTGAACTGTGATGCATCTTCACATCTGCTGGTGAAGGCAGAGCAGAGAGGTCGGGGAGGTGCGGATGGTGAACTGCAGGCAGAGCCCTTCTGTGCTGCACCAGCCAGGAGAGCTGCCTGCTGTGAGGATGCTCCACGGGCCGAGGATGCTCCGTGGGGTGACAGAGGAGGGCATGGCCACTGGAGAAGATGGCAGCAGGGACTGACCTGGATGTCTCCAGCCCTGGGGTCTGAGCACAGCGGTTGTGTTTCAGATGGGGTGAGGAGGAGCACGGGCGACAGGAACTTCCTGGGTCTGGGGCAGAGCAGCCCAAACACAGCAGCTCAGGCATGGGGCAGGTGTCGTGGGCTGTTCCATGGAGGGCTGGGGGGCTCAGCACTGCTGAGCATTGTGGAATCGTATCCCCCATGGGCACATCTGCTCGGCCCTAGGAGGCAGCACACAGCTGACTGGCCTTAAATTATGTTCACAGACCTGAAGCATTTATAGCTTTCTCTCTGGAAACAAAGCAAGCCCCAAAGCACCAAAATGAAAGGCAGGCAGGACCTGAAAGAACCTGGATAACAAAAGGCAGGGCTGGCTGCGGGGCTGGGCAGCACCTCCTGTGGCGGGGATCAGCTGTCAGCGCTGCTCCGGGGGAGAATTTGCTGCTCGATGGGTCTGGGGGTGCCAGCACAGGGTCACTCCCAGTCTCTCTGCACTGGATTTGAAGCCCCAAGCTCCGGATCCTCCTCTTCTGTACCTGGAGGGGTGGCGTCATTAATGTTTATAAATTTGTAAAGGGCGATTGTCAGGAGGAAGGAGCCAGGCTCTGCTCTGTGATGTCCAGTGACAGGACAAGGGGCAATGGTCCCAAGCTGGAGCACAGGAGGTTCAGCCTGAACATGAGGAAAAACTTTGTCACTGTGAGGGTGCCAGAGCATGGCCCAGGCTGCCCAGAGAGGTTGTAGAGTCTCCTTCTCTGCAGACATTCAAAACCCGCCTGGACGCGTTCCTGTGTGACCTGGTCTGGGTGATCCTGCTTTGGCAGGGGTTGGACTAGGTGATTTTTCGAGGTTCCTTCCAACTCCTAATGTTCTGTGATTTGTGATTCTGTGGTGGGCTTGGCTGCCCTGCAGTTTTTCTAGGCATGCATTCATTTTTGTTTTTAATTTTGTTTTGAGCCGTAGCACGGAGCAGTGGTGTGGGAATGAAAAGAGCCCTGCAAGACCCCCACACTGCCTCTCACGGTGGTCCCTATCCATTGCCCCAACCATCCCTGTGTCTGTGCTACCTCATGCACAGCTCTGTCCTCATGTCCTTCTCTCCCTGTACAACACCAGCCTCTCCTCTGGCTGAGAGCATTTGCAGTCCTTCCAGCAGTTTCTCTGCATTTTCATGGTTTTTTTCATTTGCACAAGGGCTGGCATCACAGGGACCCCAGTTTTCACTTAGGAGCAGAGATTGGGACCAGGAGAGGCAATGCCAGCTCCTGTTTGGAGATGAAGTGCTAACGTGGTGGTAAATTGTGCAGTGTTTACATCACCCCGGGCTCTTGTCAGTGAGTTCAACTAGGGCATGACCCAGCCTGGCAGGGATGAATCACAGCATGCGAAAAGGAGGAAAGAAAATGGGTCTCAGCCACCGGAGAGGAGACCGATGGATCCTGAGATGCTTCATGGGTGTCTGGAGGGAGCAGGGGGGCAGCTGTGCCGTTTATGCCTACACAGAATCACAAGAAGTGGCTGTGCTGCGTGAAGCACATGACCTTTGGGCTGAGCGGAGCAAGAGGAGTTTGGGGCTGGATGGGAACATGATGCTTTTGCAAACTGGTTCTGTAAAACCTCTCCCATGCTGGATTCAGCTGCTGTGACCCCACGGGGTGAGACGGTTCAGTGTTTGAGTGCGTGGATCCCTGTGTCCCCAGGGAGCTGCAGGTGGTCAGGGTTGATGGCTCCATTGCCAAGTCCCTTTTGATAAGGAGCAGAGGTGGAGGAGGTGGTTCCTGCAGACTTTAGTGGCTGTCATGGACAGTGCTGTAACTGGCACCAGTTATTGTGGGATGAGAACCACCTAGCCAGTTTGCTGGCAGCTGGGCCACCCCTGTCTGAAAGGCTCTGCCTTCTTTCAGAAACATTTCATGAACAATTAGTTTCTTCCAGCGTAAGTCAAAAGCGCTTGCTGGACTCCTTGCACTCCAAGGGCAAGCAGAAGTGTTTCGTTGACTTGAAACATTCCTGCCTTGTAAAACCACTGATCCAGTTTTTGCTAGGCTTGCCTTGTTTTCTACTTTCTAGAAGCTGAAAATCAAGTCTGGTGTTTGTGCAGTATTGTGCCAGTGCAATGATGTGCAATAAATGCCCGCTTGTATTTTATTACTGAATGAATTATGAGGTTGCTTAAAGAGTGGGTTTTGAGTGCCTGTTTTCCCAAACCTGTTTGTTTCTTTTGTTGTATGAAGACATCCCTTCAAAGAGATGAACTTCCCGTGAAGGACCCTGAGCTGGGATCTCTGGCTCGGGCTGTGTTACCATACAGACCCAAGGGGGTCACACCTCCCTAACTCCTCCTCTCTCCCTCAGGTGCCTGTCCTGCGTGAACAGTGCTTTCCGCTGCCACTGGTGCAAGTACAGGAACCTCTGCACCCACGACCCCACCATCTGCTCCTTCCAGGAGGGACGGATCAATGTCTCCGAGGTACCAGACTGTGGTTTCAGCTCTTTCTTCTTTGTTTTTTTGTGGCTCAGTTATTATAACCAATGCTCATGTGACTTTTTTGACTTTCCATGGTTTGGGGCTGCTCTCTCGGACTCAAAAAAAGACTCTCCCATCAAAAAGCACAGATGCAGCTGTAAAGGAGCGTAACAAGAAAGCATCAGTGTAGCTAAAGTGAAGCTGAAGCTGATCCCACCTCTGATATGTGGGGATGGTTCGGGTGCAGTAACGTCTGTAATTGCTGTAGTGCTTTCCTTCGAGGGTCTCAAAGCCTCCTCAAATGCCAGCACATTTCAGCAACTCCATTTTACGTACAGGGCGTGTGGAGATTTGCCCGATGGCGAGGAGCAAGTCAGGTTTTGGTGGGACTCATTGAGTAGGTTGTGTTGGCAGGTGTGAAGTTTATGGCAGGAGCCCGACTGCAGACTGATTAGGAAGGGAATTACAAATGTGAACAGCCCCAGACTTTGGAAAAGAGAATTAATTCAGGTTCCAGTGCTGTGGACCAGGAGCCATCACTCCCAGCAGTTAATAAAAGTTGTGGGGCTTAAGTCCAAAAATGCTTTTAACAGTTGGAAGGAGGCATACCCCATTAACAGCTCTGTCAGATCTTCTGTATGTCCTGAGGCAGAGGGGACCGTGGAGGAAAGGATTCTGTTAGCACACAACCCTGGCAGGGTCCAGGTCTTGGCCCTTTCTGCCCCTGCACGTGGTGTTATAGCCCCTGAAATGTGTGCAGGTCCCAAAGTGGCAAGGAAAAAAATGGTTTAAAAGGTGCTTTGAAAATTCTGAGTGTCTTGGAGAGTGGGAATGGCAGCAGTGAGGACATACACAAATATTAGGAAAGGGAAGGAGAGTAAGGTCGGTTAGCCAGTGTCAAGACAGAGCGTTATCAGTGAGTGATGGAGACAGAGGAAAACAGAAATTGGTCAGTGGAGTAAAACACGGAGCCGCTACAGGAGGGGACCGAGGAGGGGCTCCCACAGCAGCTTCAGAGAGCTGCCCTGTGCGGCAAAGGGAACGGATGCCCAAGGAGAAGCATCCGCCCTGGGGATAAACCAAAAGCTTTCTCAGTCCAGTTCAAAGTCAAGAAACTTCCTTTCAACATAACAAGAGAAAGCAAAAACCTTTTCTTTTCCTTCTCTCAAGTGATGTGGGCGTTTTTCTCCTTCACACTCAAAGCATTGCCGTCTTCCCAGGCTTAAAAATTGTAGTTCTCCGTTTTATAGGTCTCCATCTCCTTGATCCCAGAAGTGTTTGACAAGTCTCTGGTAAAGTAGGACAATCCCATTATCTCCATTTTTCTCCTGGGAATGCTCAGGACTTGCCTGAGATCACAGGGAGGGAGCGGGTGAATGAGTTCGTATCTCTGCCAGTTCCTGCTGGGATCACAGGGCCGTGGCGGCTCCAAGGAACTCCTCTGTCGTCTGCCTCTTGCAGGGGTTGTTTCTTACCCGGGGATGTTGAGTGATATCTAACACCTTCCT